GAACTACATACAGTTATACTGTAGGTTCTTTTCAAATTATTAATTTTGTCAAACTGTACATTTTTTGAGATCAGTTGCCAAAACGTTTCCAGCCAAACATTTGGGTATAACCTTGAGAAATTGTTTTTTACTACTCTGTTAAAATAAACTTGACAACCAATGATCTTTTTGAAAGATTATTAGTTCATTCATGTACTTGTTCTGAGTCAAGATGATATTGTAGTGGCTTTGCTTCGTTAATCAATCACCCTTGTAGCCGTTATTATTTAAATCTCAACGGTGTTTATAATCTGAAGGCAACTACAGTTTATCAGTGGATAGTATAGATCATACAGATATCGAGTGAATTTAAAGCAGAAAGGCGAATGTGTGTGTGCGACGCAGATCACAAAGTTATAAGTACATCAAGCGTCTATCAAGCCGACAGGTGAATAAGTATATGCAAGTCAAAGCAAAGACTAATAATAGGAATCGCGTACATATGTACATGGGGAAGAGAAATGAGTCATCGAGTGATATTTAAGCTATCAACACTTTAGCTAAAATCTGTCATTCGATCAAGTGCACACGTTTAGTACAAAGAAATTCAAATAACATTCTCTCCTAAGTAAGTAAATACGAAGGGCTAAACCAGAATCAACCATTATCGAAATCGATTGTAGGATAGTTGCTACAGCATGTATAAACTAAATTCATTTTATATATTTGTTGATTAACAAAATATATCTTTATCTCTTTAGATACGCTTCATTATTCACTAGTCTTCAGTCGTATGAATTATAACAAACGGGATCTCAGACTTGTATGACCTTTTCTTAAGCCTCGATATAACCTTAATTCACAAGCAATATAAGCAAAGATGGACAGTGGTTAGCAGTAGAATCCAATTTGACACGCGTTTCGTTCTATTTGGGACTCGTCAGCTGGATACACCTTCATCTCAAAGTTAATGTTCACTCTGAGACATGAACACAATAACTTTCACTTCAAACGCCATCGTATTATCCATTTAGCTACTGAGTCTTGATAGCCACTTGCTTGTGCAATGGGATGAAGTTTAAATTCACTTGGTTTTATTTACTTGAATCTTCCCATTCATCCAGATGACAAGTTTCAAATAGGACGAAACATGAGTCTTGGATTCCACTGCTAGCCACTATCCATCTTTGCTTATATTGCTTGTGAATTAAGGTCATATCGAGGCAATACACACAGTATGCACATATGCAAATAAGAGACTGATCCAATGCAGTCCTAAACATCACAAGTTAAATTTCTTTCGGATTTTGTCTAGCACTTGAATTCTGAATGTACGCTTACTTCTATTTAGGATACGTCAGTTATATTTGTTTGTTGATCTTTGTACAGAGGCTAACACAACAGCTGTCGTTACATAAAAGCCATCACGTTAACTACTGAACTGCTAAGTTCAGTTAGCCAATTATTTATACAACAGTTATGAAGTTATACATGTAGGAGTTGAAGTTCTTGCTGAGCAAACTCCCTGAGTATGAGAAGGAATAATATGATCTAAGTCCATCTAGTTGGCCGAATCCAGGCTGAACGAAAAGCGTCTATTTAATTCCTCTACCATGTACATAATAAACATGATCAAACTTGTAACTAGACGTTTATATTGAGTCACGTATTGTAAGAGACTGATCATTATCAATCCTTACTACTGGCAATAAGGAAACTGAACCCTTTTACAACAGATTTCGTCTCAAAATTTAGATCTTCTTCAGTTAATTAGAATATACAGGTCTTAACTGATTCATACATTATTTTTCCCTATTCAGTATTGTCAAATGTAAATCAATCGAATACAACTTTACTTCTTATTTCAGTTTATGATATCGTATTGTTGTATCTTACAGTAGTGTTGTGTGAGCTGTCTATGCAGATAGACATATGTAGTGTGTAGTAGGAATTGAAAGTAGCATGTTTACGAAAAGATGATTGAAATGAAAGGAAGAAAAAGGGAAACAGAGAGCAGTTGAAATAACAACAGAATTAGAAGAATGATGGAATACGTAAAGGATAACTAAATGAAGATAATGTATTTAATGTATGATTTTCATAATTTACAATGGCACTGTGTAATTTTACTTAAACCAGTGAATTGGTTTTCCCCATTTATTTTTCGTTCACTACAGTATCAATTCGGAAATGAATATTAGACATTTGAGAATTATCGTTTGAGATAAACTCAGAGGTGAATAATCCGCTGATAAAAATAAACTTATACCACATTGGAATTAGACATTTTGAAATTAAAATGACGTGACAGCAACTCCCCTAGGTGGATCTTCCATATACATCAACCAGGTTAAAGTGCCGGATATTCGCGTGAGAAGGAAGTGAGTAGGACGTTCCTGGTAGTGGCTGTATATGAGTAACAATGTGAGAGCATTTTCAGAGGGAGAGATGACTCTCTTCACCCTCGGATTTACCATGACATGATAAGAATTTTTGATTATTTTCGAAAGTGATCATTCGTTCAGCACTAGGGATTATCATTGGTTGTTCAACTCTCAAAAGTAATCCCAATCTTCATCAGATAAGAATGAAATAATGAAGATCATTTTATTTATCAACTGACATTAGGTAGATAATTAAGTCTAAGTCGTTACACAATCTACGCTTATAAAATCCAGCCTATTGATCTCGGAGTTGGGCGTCTACAGAATTCCTCATTCGGTTCAACAGCGTTGTTGAAAACGTTTCCTGGCACTGATACTAGTGTGATGTCTCTGTAGTTCTCGTAATTTCTGAGATCTTTCTTTGGTATCTTTAGAAGTTATCCTTCTTTCCAGTCTGTCGGCACTTGTTCATTTTTCGAAATCTTTCTGACTAAGATGTGGAGCGTGTTTGTAGTTATCTATTTGGTTGACTTCAGTACTTCAGCCGGTACGTTGTCTGGTCCTAATGATTTTCCACTCCTGATTTGTCTGATGGTCATGTTGATTTCTTCGATTGTTGTCGAGGTAACGTCAACTGGTAGGTCTTTATGTACTGCATCCATGTCTGGTGAGTTCAATAGTGTTGATTTATTCAAGAGTTCTTCAATGTGTTCTACTCACTTGTTTCTCTGTTCTCGAATCTTAGTGATTGATTTGCCTTCTTTTTTCTTAACTAATTGCTCTGGTTTATTATATGTAATAACATATAAGTGTAGAACCATGATGAAAAAGTAATTTAAATGAAATTTTTTCACTTTATTCCTTTTTTCTGCCTTGTTTATAACTAAACTTATGGTTTGCATACATTTAATATATAGACTTAAAGTTGAATTTAATATTAATCTCAGAAGGGATTTTGTGGTGATTGTAGTTATTTCAATAGTTGATATCATATGTCAATTGAACTAATAGGTACTGGGTTTGAATCCCGCGAGGTGGGGTCGTGGATACCTGGACGAAACGGCCATCCAGTGCTTCCGGATTTCCCATCGTGGTCTAGTTTCAATTGGCTCATGGTCTCAACCATTGGAATTACTACAACTTCCACAAAACCCCTTCTGATACTAATCACCATATACTCACTAGTGACTGGCTTCAAGATGTATATCCTGGATTTCTAGTGAGAGGCAATCAACAGTGGAATTCATCCGGGTCAGTGGTGAGATAGTAACTCATTGATGACAATGGTGGATGTATCGCCCGATTTCGTGGATTAGTTGAGGTTACACATTAACACCAATGGATGCCGGCCTGCTCAGTGGTCAAGAGGTTAAACGTTCGTGCGCGAGACTGATAGGTACTGTGCTCGAATCTCGCGAGGTGGTGTCGTGGATGCCCACTAGTGAAGAGTCCCGCAATAAGACGAAACGGCTTTCCAGTGGTCTGGCTTCAATTGACTTACAGTCTCAACTATTGGAATGAATATTTATCGTCAGAAATAGGGCAATTATCTACCTGATTTACACAACAATTCTGTCAATATGCAAATCAACTTATAATTTTGATGCGTGAAACTGTTACGTCCCGATAGGTATAATGAATGGTAACTTTTGAGATCCATTTATGGACCAACACTATACATATATTTTTATTGTATAATTGTGAAATAACTAAACTATTCATATTCATGTCCCTCTTATTATGAGCTTTATTTAGACCTATGAACTATTATTATACGATTTACCATTCTTGAGTTATACCTGGTCTATCAATTACTATCTCCCACATTCACAACCACATTTGGCTAAATCTTGTACAAATGTTGTTTCCTATTTTATGGTTTGATGTAGTCTGTTTGGTTGGTATATAAACCGAGTATGTTTGAAACACATGATTCATATCGCAGAGTCTGGGATTCGGTGTTCTGGACTTAACAGGCAGGGCTAGGCAGGAAGCGGGACCGATAAGTACTCCAGACTACTGGTACTTGTTTTACATGTCATTGGTTCGATTGATAATCCACTGCTCTCTAATTCACGGTATCATCACATTATACATTAACAGGGCACACAGGCCACAAGGTATAACACCCCCCACCCCCGAAAAAAAACAATCTTCAAACAAAAAAATTCTTTTACACTCAATTTCTTTATATTTTCTTTTCTTTAAAGTAATAAATTAATTAGTAACATAATGTTAATCATTGTTATCACTGAAAATCGCAACGGCAACAAAAAAACACCCCCCACATAGTAACTTGTTTATACACATGTATATATCTTTATGGGTTTGTTTTTTGTGTTTTTATTTAGCCATTTTCATACATATATAATATTATCCAGAGTAATTAGAAAAGACAAAACAATCGTAGTAATAGTAACAGTAATAGTAGTAGTAGTAGTAGTAGTAGTAGTAGTAGTAGTAGTAGTAGTAGTAGTAGTAGTAGTAGTAGTAGTAGTAATATTGAGTAGTTTTATCAGTAGTAACAAAGATTTTCTTAAAATTAAATTATTTAACAAATCACTTAATCAGATGATTGTCTTTTGAATGATTACATTTTATTGACTGATTACTTAATCGATAATAATAATAATAATAATAATAATAACAATAATAATAATAATAGTAACCATAGTAACAGTAACAATAATAGTAATAATAGTAATAGTGTTACGTAATAATCATCAACAACAACAACAAAAACATTGTCGTTTTCTATTCTTAATCACGAATTATAAGTAGTATATACTGGATCCATTAAAAAAAGATGATTAAATCATAAGCTGCATTAATTTTATTTGTCTTTATTGTTTTTGTTTCTTGTTTTAATTCATGAATACAATATATAATGTAAAGCAGATAAGTAAATTGTGTCTCTTTCTTTCTCTCTCTCTCTCTCTCTCTGTATATATATATAATTATCTATTTGATTTAACCTCATTATAATACATCATTTATCATCCTATTCGACGGTTCATTTCTTGATAGAACTTTAATGACACCAAAATGGGATACATGGGAACTATTTGAGGAAGAAAGAAAGCGAATATTGATTTATTTAATAAAAAAAATGAGAAAAAAATTTGGGGAGGGGGTAGATCGTCAAGGGGGGGGGCGGGGGAGCGAAAACTGAGTTTATTTTACCTGTAGAAATTCAATAATCATCATGATAGAAGATAATTGTGACTTTTTATTTGTTTGTGTTACTTTCTATACCATTAGTTATTTATTATTATCTCCTTATGAATAGGATCATTATTGATCCAACAAAATGGATCTTGATCGTGTTTACATCTAGTCGGATAATTTGATTATTTCTAAAATATCTTTTAACCATGAATATGTATTTGGATCATGATCATATAAGTGTTGTAATGGTTGAATTAAATATTCTCGTGTCATTTCATGTATCATATCTTTTTGTTGAAATACTTTAGAAAAATATGTTGAATCATTACGTAATAATGAAGTGGATATAAGATGATCATTTGTATTGAGTTTATTAGATTTTTTAGATGAATTATTATTACTACTTATAATATTGTTAGTAGTAGTATTATTATTAGTAGTAGAAGTCGAATCATAAATGAATGATGTTTGTGTATTTGATGTTAAATTTATATGTTGAGTTGATGAACAACAATGACTTTTTAACATTTCAACAAATCTATGATGTAATGAATAAACTTCACTAGAATTTGACAATGGAGTGAGATCTGAAAACAAAAATAAAGAAGAAAAAAGATGAAAAACAATCAACGTACTTTTAACGTATAGCAACCATCCTACAATTGATTCACTTACTTAATAGATAATGTTGTTTGAATCGTAACAATTCGTCTATTTTTCTACTATTATGATCATTAGAGCACATGATAGACTATAGCTAAAATGTTGAAGATTCATCCTTCTACTTATGTATAAACGTACTTACTTACTTACGCCTGTTACTCCTCGTGAAGGAGCATAGGCCGCTCACCAGCATTCTCCATCTAACCCTGTCATGGGCAGTCCTTTCCAGCTCCTTCCAGTTACTATTCATCCTTTTTACATCTGCGTGTATTTCCCGACTTAATGTGTTCTTTGGCCTTCCTCTTTTCCGTTTCCCTCCAGGATTCCAAGTTTGGGCTTGCCTCGTGATGCAGTTTGATGATTTGCGTAATGTATGTCTTATCCATTATGTATATATGTACTGAGATCGTACTATTAGTCCTTGATTTGCTTTGCATGTGTCCTTATGCAATTTGATTATACATTTGTTTATGTAATTGCTCTCACACACACACATTCGCCTATTTGCTTCAAAGTTCGTTCGATGTGCTTAGAGCTTTGTGATCTGTGCTATCCTAAAACACCATTGAGATTTATGATATAACAGTTACTGAGGTGATTGAATAATGGAGTAAAGCCACTACAAAAGAATCGTTTAATAATTTTGTTATATATATACATTGATACAACTAATAGAAATGGAAAATACGGCGAAACTCTAATTCATGGACGAGCCGATCAGAGACTTACTTACTTACTTACTTACACCTGTTACTCCTCGTGAAGGAGCATAGGTCGCTCACCAGAGATTTCAAGGTGACGGCGCCAACTTTAGTGCTTAATGCTAACGTACGATCAGTTCACAGGGAATTTTGTACAAAACGTGATAATTGAGCGGCTATAACGAATAAAACGGCGGGACTATAATTCGTGGACGAAACAGTCAGGTATAAGATAATAGATCTCGGATTTTGGTGCGAAAGCCTTTCATCCATTTGGCTAAATAGATTTCTGGCATCATAGCTGATGTCAGTTCGTGATGAAAACCCCATATATAATTCCTAACTAAGACAAATTACGACAATTATTGCGAACTGGATAATAAAAGCACCAGTAACACTGGCTGAAGTCAGGTACTACAATATATAGGGATGTTTGGAGAGCAAACATATTCCTACATAAACTTGGTTATGTGCATCTTGTCGTTATCCACAAGTAGCATTTAGTGCACTCAACAACCGGAGTGAATATAAACAATATTGAAGCTATGTGGTCGAGGCTGAAAGAGTTTTTGAGACTTTATCATGGCTTCAGAGGCCGACTATTCTGTAACCATATGGATGATTTCCTCTACTGCATGCATTACGATTTTAGAACCTCTGAACCTCTTTCTAACCTTGACAAGTTTTTGAACCACATATAAGAAGTGTATCCACTTTATTTCCTTGGTTTTGTATAACATATTTTTACTCTATACTGACTGTTTACTGATTGGATCAAGGTCGCTTAAGATTCTTTCAAAGGTTGTCCATAAATTAGAGTCTCGCCGAAAATACTTGTTTATTTGACAATTAGGCATCTTTTTGTTTAGATTTAAAGGTTTATTTTAAACTATGAATTATATCGAATACGTTGGATTATAGTCAATCATTGACTTTGAAAAACAGGCTGAGTGGGTCTAGGTAACATTAGGAAAAGTAACATCCCTAATGAAGTGAGTATAACCTGTTGTAGTCGTCTGTAGAACTCTGTTGATAAACATGAATAATTAGCATTCAGTAACAAAAGCATGTTTCCTTTTTCATTAGGAATGTTAGTCTAATTTTATTAATCTTAATCTTAATAGCAATAAGCGGAGAACGAAGTGCTGGAAGTTGATGGGACACATATTGAAGAATGCACGCAATTACGTCACAAGGCGAGCCCTCACATGGAATCCTGAAGGCCAAAGTAAAAGAGGAAGATCAAAGAACACATTACACCGGGAAATGGAAACAGACATGAGAAAAATGAACAAGAATTGAATGGAACTAGAAAAGAAGGCCCAGGATAGAGTGTGTTGGAGAATGCTGGTCGGTGGCTTATGCTTCACTGAGGGTCAAACTCGTAAGTAAAAGTAAATACGAATAGTTACAACCCAAATCGTTCAATAATAGCATTATTAATTATCATGTTAATATCTCCACCAATGACCAAGAAATCTAGAAATCAATGAATTTTACTGATAGCAGCTTCTGAAACATTTTACGACATCTAAATCGATGATGTTTTTATCATCCTGTTATACACAAACGAATATAATCTGATGAAAAGTTCCTGAATTACAACAACTACTGTCTTCATTTTTCTATTCATTTTAAACATTCCTGTTAAAACATGATTTAGAATCAATCACTGATAGTGAAACTGAAACCTGATATAAACCAATTTCATGGAGGAAATATAGTTGTTCTCGGGTGGAAGCTTGTCTTTTGGCGAAATTCCCCCATTTTCGAACAATGAGAAGCGTATTACACTCATATGATTTTCAGATGGTGAAGAAAATTTGTAGCTCAGGTGGATGATTTTGATGGAGTTTTGTTCTCTGATCTGGACGGTTTGGTCGTGGAGCTTTCATCGTTCTTCCGAAAGACATCATCAGCACAAACTTCAAATAGAAGTGAAATCTGAAGGTTGTGCGGATGATGTCGTTCAGAAGAACGGTGAAAGCTCCACGACCAAACCATTCAGCTCAGAGAACAAAACTCCATCATAAACGAATTTACATATGTGTACAAACTGTCAGTATTCACATGATATGTAAGAGTTTATAAAGGGAAGATACTGCTTTTGAACTGCATAGTTAAATACTTATCAACAAAAGGAACATAATACTTAAACTACTTCAATTGTTACTTGGTAAAATAGATAAACCAAATAGTAAATCGTTAATTTGCAAAATATCATTCCATCATATCAAAACGGACTGTTGCCGTTGCAAACATCAATCCATTGTCTCGCATTTCATTGTTCATGCGGTTTCTAACAAGTTCCATTGTGTTCTCGCTCTTCCTTTCTTGATCTTCTCCCATCTTCTGCTGCCAGACATTACGTTCTTCAACTCGCGTTATATACTACTTATATCAACATAAGTAGCACGCACCACACTACTTATATCAACATGAGTAGTATGTAACGATAATCAGTATTAGAATGTCTGGCAGCAGGAGGTCGAGAAGATTGAGAAGGATAGAACAAGAACACATAATGATTAATGTGGAAACAAAAGAACAAGGAAGTTTGAGACGATTGACTCATTAACTATTCACAATATGATCTTCAAATTTTACTAAGACATTCTGTAATTTTATATTCAAATACAATTGATTGTCACCACCTGTTACTTGTTCACTACAATAGTATTGTTCGCTTATTCGAAAAGATTGTAAACACATTCATGAAATAATGCCATTGTGTTGGATGATTAGAGGCTTTCATTTGAAAGCTTTTCAAATGATTGATTTTCCATGATAAACTACGTCATCCCTCAGTGCTCAGTCATCAGAAAGGTGACTACTACTTATTGTTTTGTTATTAATACGTCTATCAATAAATGGATGTAGATGAAGGTAAACAGGAGACGTTTATAAATAGAGAGGTGATAAACCTGGAAACTTTAGGCGGTTCATATTTCGTTTCGGAATCACATAGTAAGTGAGTAATTGAATCGTTCACCATACCAAAGTCATTGCTCACATATAGTATATATAGATATATGCATTGTGTACAATATGATTCAGTGTTTAGCATAAAGTTTATTATGAGTTATTAGACTTATTTCTCTACATATCCGGTTGTAAAAGTGTTAGGAAGTATGTTTAATGGTAAACATGGATCTAAGACCATCTTCTTTCCTATAAGAGTTTCGGTTTTCTTACGAACTTTCATCTAAACTTCATTGAAAGAAGTATGTAAAACCTTTGTTCATGTTCATTTTATTATTCTCTGTACCTTCAGACTGTTTGTAACAGATAAGAAACCGTATAACAGAATGAAAAGATAATTTTTTTTATGTAAAGCGTTTAGAGTCAATAGATGGGATAACATGAACTTAGATTTCATGTTAGTTGGCATTCATCAGTAAGACATATCTACTATCTTGATTAAACGGATGATCTAGGTATGAATCCAATCCGCACTATCTGGCTTGATAGTCTGAAATATCACCACCAAACGAATCTGGCCTTAACTAATCTTCAGTAGTACTAAAACTTTTGTTGTTCATGTGTGGCTTGAAATTGTTCAAGTGAGTAAGCTAACACTATCATTAATGACGATAATAATAATGTAATAATACTTCACCTTTAAGTCATATAGACTGTTAACTTCATATCAGTAGGTTTGGACAAGTTTACATGACTTGAATAAAGACAACATCAAATAGTCATTAATTGAAACAGATCAATCTTACCTATCACAATTTATATTTTTTATTACTAAGAAAACCTCATAGTTTAATATTAATTTCAGCAATGCTGACTAATGTTGGAGACGGTTGAAACAGATGGTGGAGAAGAGTTGTAGCTCAGGTGGATGATTTTGGTGGAGTTTTGTTCTCTGAGCTGGATGGTTTGGTCGTGGAGCTTTCATCGTTCTTCTGAACGACATCATCAGCACAAACTTCAGATAAACGTTTATGCTGATGATGTCGTTCAGAAGAACGATGAAAGCTCCACGACCAAACCATCCAGCTCAGAGAACAAAACTCCACCAAAACGGTTGAAACAATTTTTGGGGGTAGCTAAACCAATAATGTGGTATTAGTCCGCAAAATCACCAACTTCTAGTCTGAGCCATGTTGGTAGATGTAGACTACTTAATTGGGGTCCTCTAGACTGTCATACTCAATAGTTGTAGACTCTGGGTGACATGGCTCAGAATCGATCACATTGGCTTAGGTGTATACACTCTCTGTCTTCCCTTAAACTATGAAATGAAAATCGCTTCATATCTTTCTTTCTACGAACTAATTTTTTCTTTCTGTACTTTATCCTTATTGCAATCTGATATATTTCCACCACTGAGTTAACTGCTTCTATGAATCCGGTGTTCATCTTGTTGTGCTAGTGAGGTATGGCAAATTGTATCGATTCATATACGTGCCTGATCCTACATTGTAACTGACTGACTAACTGAATAGAAAACAAATGATACATTCTAGTTGATTTCATTTGACTTCATACTCATTTCATCAATGCATTATCAAGAACACATCAGTTATTATGATTGGAAATTAACAACCCTAAACCACTGTATCATATTATCGCCAATGGATTCTTTCAAGTTATTCAATTGTAACATATTTAACAGTAGTAGGTTAAATGTATCATGATTATTACAAAATTTAAAAATCCTTGCTTCAAACTTGTTTAGTTTCTTCGATGGGTCATATTAAGGAGTTTTGTACAGTATATGGGTCTGGTTCAACGCTGTAGCTGACTAACTGACTGAATATTTATTTCATATTTCATTCCCGAAATTTATCGAAATGCAAGTAACCATTCATCTTCCCCACCCAATGCCCTGGTATGGCCGAGAGTGGGGTGGGCCCGCCCTCCCTATCGAAATGCCCTCACATGGCCACGCGTATATAGCCTCTGCTAGGGAAGTCCTACTCACTGCCTTCTTGTGGCACTACTGTTGTTTACGAAATTGAGAGGACGAATAGCGAATGTCCAGCGTTTTAACCGAATCCCAAACGAAATCATCGGTGCACATGGGCACCAGTATCCTGCGGGAACAAATGACGTATGAACCAATCGTTGGTCACCGGCTTCCATGGGACTGCATCTCCTTACGATGCTCCACTGCCTTGTGGATCAGACCTTTAGGTCAAAGGCTCTGGTTGTGGCCCCCTAAGCAAACCACCTGCTTTGGTCATGGAAAAGTCAACAATAAACATTTGCAAAACAAAAAGAAAAAGAGAAAAAGAACAAAAGGAAAAGAACTTACAATTGATTGATTTATAATTCACTAAAATTAATGCAGCTAAACCCCAAATTGCATTATAATCATCTTGTATTAATAGTTTTAATTGTGTACTAAATTGTTTAATTTGATTAGCCCAATTACCAAAACCAGATTTTAATAATTCTCTATATGACATTGATTTACCATTTTCGAAAATAAATAAAATTTCTTTATTTTTACTATTATTATTATGACTACTATTATTTATTAAGTAGTTTGTTTTATAATAATCAATAAAATGCGATTTATCCATTCTCGACTGATGCATTTGTTGATTCCAATTATTTATAGTTGGAATATAAATATTTTCATAATTAGATGATGTATTTGTTTTAGTCATTGTTGTTGTGGTGGTTGTTGATGTTGTTGTTACTGGTAATAGTGCTGTTGTTCCTATCGCCGTTGTTGTAGGTGTTGTTGTTGCTGAAGGTGTTGTCGGTGTCATTCTTATGGATGAAGAGATTTCAAAGGGTTTTTCTATGAAAGAATTTTCATGTATAATTTGATTTAATTTTATACAATTATCGGAATGATTTTCTATAAATGATGTTGGTGTATAGTTTGGATGTGTAGTGACTTCTCTTTCCATGGCACATCTAATAAGCAAAATAAATAAATGAGTAAATAAATCAATCTGAAATGAAAAATCAATATTTGTTATGATTTCAATATTTATATCCAAAGGGGTTTTGTGGATATTATATTAGTTTTAATAGTTGAAATCATGAGCCAATTGAAGCTAGACCACAATGGAAAACCTGGAAGTACTGATCGGTTTTTTTTCATTCTCCTGTGGAACTCCTCAACGGTACGAATCCACGATCCCGTCTCACGAGATTCGAACTCAGGACCTATAAGTTTCGTGAAACGGCATCCACGGATGTTAATGTCTAACTCCAACTAATCCACGAAACTGAGCGACAAATCCATCATTGTCTTCAGTGAGTTACAATCTCACAACAGACCGAGTTGAACTCCAATGGTCACTGCTAAGAGATAATATAAAAACATACATCATATCTAAATAAACACTCATACAATTCAATGTGTCGAATATCAATTCTACATAATTTTGTGTAATAGTCTGTGTATGTTAGTGATAATTAAGAAACTCTTTGTATCTATGTGATTTAACGCTGTTTCATATTTAAAAATGCATGATATACATTTGTATTCGATCTCGCATCGTGATTACTCAAACTATTAACTTGTTGACAAAATCTTAAATATTCGAAATCCTGTTGTGGTGAACGAGAACATCAGTGGGGATAACCGGATGTATTTGAATATAAAATTACAGAATCTCATCGTAAAATCTAAGAAACATTCAGTAAACTCCTCATTTGTAAAATACCCATCACTTGTCTCAGACTTCATTGTTCTTTCATTTCCACACTCATCATTCTTTGTTCTCAGTCTTTTTTTCTTTAATCTGCTTAACCTTCTACTGCCAGGCATTTCAGTTTTGACTGAGGATACATACTACTCATATCTGTCGACATTAGTAGCTAACACCACACCATATTGACAAGTATATATTACTGATCAGTCACCTGTACAGTATACACATGAATATGATTAGTTAAATTTATGTTTATACTTGACTAATATATATACCGTATTGACGAAGAAAAGTGATTTTGAATTTTCTATTTTTAATGACATCAGAAAATAGATGAACAATACCATAAATCGATTGAGGTGAGAAATACAGACCACCAAATATCCCATCCATTGTATAAAGGTTAGGCGCTCGTAGCAAAACCGGATTATCATAAATTTGATGCCAAGTGGGGCTATATATGCGCACTGCTTTAAAGTTCCATATTAGACGCAAGTGGCTATCTTATTCTCTCTTATTTAAATGATATTCAAAGAAGCGTTTACACTTGATGTACAAAATAAGATAAATTTATTGAAATTTCTTTATAGCAATAACAGGAAAATCAGAAATGCGTAGTAGTAGTAGTAGTAGTAGTAGTAGTAGTAGTAGTAGTAGTAGTAGTAGTAGTAGTAGTAGTGGTAGTAGTAGTAGTAGTAGTAGTAGTAGTAGTAGTAGTAGTAGTAGTAGTAGTAGTGGTAGTAGTAGTAGTAGTAGTAGTAGTAGTAGTAGTAGTAGTAGTAGTAGTAGTAGTAGTAGTAGTAGTAGTAGTGGTAGTAGTAGTAGTAGTAGTAGTGGTAGTAGTAGTAGTAGTAGTAGTAGTAGTAGTAGTAGTAGTGGTAGTAGTAGTAGTAGTAGTAGTAGTAGTAGTAGTAGTAGTAGTGGTAGTAGTAGTAGTAGTAGTAGTAGTAGTAGTAGTAGTAGTAGTAGTAGTAGTAGTAGTAGTAGTAGTAGTGGTAGTAGTAGTAGTAGTAGTAGTAGTAGTAGTAGTAGTAGTAGTAGTAGTAGTAGTAGTAGTGGTAGTAGTAGTAGTAGTAGTAGTAGTAGTAGTAGTAGTAGTAGTAGTGGTAGTAGTAGTAGTAGTAGTGGTAGTAGTAGTAGTAGTAGTAGTAGTAGTAGTAGTAGTAGTAGTAGTAGTAGTAGTAGTAGTAGTAGTAGTAGTAGTAGTAGTGGTAGTAGTAGTAGTAGTAGTAGTAGTAGTAGTAGTAGTAGTAGTAGTAGTAGTAGTAGTAGTAGTAGTAGTAGTGGTAGTAGTAGTAGTAGTAGTAGTAGTAGTAGTAGTAGTAGTAGTAGTAGTAGTAGTAGTAGTAGTAGTGGTAGTAGTAGTAGTAGTAGTAGTAGTAGTAGTAGTAGTAGTAGTAGTAGTAGTAGTAGTAGTAGTAGTAGTAGTGGTAGTAGTAGTAGTAGTAGTAGTGGTAGTAGTAGTAGTAGTAGTAGTAGTAGTAGTAGTAGTAGTGGTAGTAGTAGTAGTAGTAGTAGTAGTAGCAGTAGTAGTAGTAGTAGTAGTAGTAGTAGTAGTAGTAGTAGTAGTAGTAGTAGTAGTAGTAGTAGTAGTAGTAGTAGTAGTAGTAGTAGTAGTAGTAGTAGTAGTAGTAGTAGTAGTAGTAGTAGTAGTAGTAGTAGTAGTGGTAGTAGTAGAATTGGAAGACCATCACACAACATCGAACTGACTAAAACCATAAATTTATGACAGCGAATCCTAACTCACTGGTTTTGTGATAATGTCCATATTATGAAAAGAGAAATGTTTAATTGTAATCCCTATATGAGATCATTATTACATATCATCAATAAGTTTCAGCCAACAGTTAGTCTGAATCTTACAAGGACCACTAGTCCCTTCATAATTTCAGATGCTCTTCTCTGAAGGGTAATAAATAGCACAAGGATTTGATTTAAGGCTCCTCTTATCTGCTTTCAACAAGTTAACCTAATAGTATTTCCTTAGATCCTTTATATAAAATCAATTAACGATAATCACAAAGGATCATAAGTTCTTCATATCCCTTGTAATATCGCTGAGAACAACAAGTGAAGTCCCAAACATCAACGGTAAGATTCATTTATTCAGTACATATGAATTAAAAATTCATCTCATTACGCCAACCAATGGCTATCTGGAATTGGTAGCTAAGTGGAAAACGTGATGACGTTTGCAGCTACGGTAATGGGTTTAAGTGTCAGAGTGATGGAGATACATCTGACGAGTCCAAAGTGAAACAAAATGCAAGTCTTCAACTGCACCCCTAGTCATCATCGAACTCTGCTTAAAATGCTTGCAACATAATGGCAATTTTGAGGAAATCCACACAAGATACACATATGCTAAAAAAGACTGATCGATTTTGCAATCCTAAACATCAATGAAGAGTTTCAAATAACCAACACACATGAATTAAGATGTTCTGTATGAGTAGTTAACGATTACTTAACTGTATTGTAATCTCTCAGGTATTTATTATTCACTCTCAACCCAGATATTGACAAAGTTGTAATCTGTTCATTATAGTCAGTCAGTCAGCTACAACGTAGGATCAGGCACATATATATGCATCTATCCAAGTTGCCATACTGCATCAGCACAACAAAATGAACACCGGATTCATAAAAGTAGTTAATTCAGTTGTGGTAATATATAAAAAGAAGATTGCGGTAAGGATAAAGTACAGGAAGAAAGAATTAGTTCGTAGAAAGAAAGATATGAAGCGATTTTAATCTCATAGTTTAAGGGAAGATAGAGAGTGTATACACCAACACCATTGTGATCGATTCTGAGCTATGTCACCAAGAAACTTCAACCATTTGTTATAATAGTCGCGCGGATCTCAACCAAGTAGTCTGCATCTCCCAACATGGCTAAGACTAGAAGTTGGTGATTTTGTGGTCTGATGCCACGTTTTGGTTTTGCCACCCCGGAGGTAGATGTAGCTAACAATGGAATCCAGGATGTCCCGTCCAATTAGAGACTTATCAGATGTATACACCTGAATCTTGAATTTGATGTTCATTCCGAAACTCAAACTCAGTACCGTAGCTTCAAACTTCATCACGTTATCCACTTAGCTACTGATCACAGATAACCACTAACTTGTACAATGAGATAAATTTTGAACTCATTATGTATTGATTGCCTGAATCTCTACATTGATCAATCTTTTTTTTGTTATATGTGCATCTCATCAAGATTACTTCTATATTGCCATTAAGTCATAAGTATTATAATGAAATGATCTAATCAACCATTACAAATGTATGTAACCTCTTCAATTTAGAAATAATTACAACAATATAAATCAGTCAAGTTTTTCAACACACTATTTTACCTATTTTCAAACTGAGACATTCAAGCAACCTCATTCAACCAGGCACATCCAGTTGACGAGTCTCAAAAAGGACGAAACACTCATCAAACTGATTTCCACTACTAATCACTATTCATCTTTACTTATGAAAAGTAATTTAAAGTAAATTTACATTGTAACAAGTACTTATATTCATTATCATGTTGAATAGAAATTTTAATTAGAAAAAACGGAAACTATCTTGTATTAGTTTTTGATTGAAATCATGAACTGATTGATGTTAGATCACCGTTGAAAACCTGGAGGCACTGGATGGCCGTTTCATTCTATTGTGGGACTGCTCAGCAGTGCGCATCCACGATCCCGTTCGTGAGATTCGAACCCAGGGCCTTCAGTCTCGTGCGCGAACGCTGAACCTATTGGACCACTGAGCCGGCCGGCATCCAACGGTGTAAATGTCTAACCTCGACCAATCCACAAAATTGCGCGACCATCTTCCATTGTACTGAGGTAGACACCTGTTTCTACCCGACATAGATTAGCTCCGCTGGTCACGGAGAAACGGAAACTATCTTGTATTACATCCATCCAAAATGAATAATTATTCTTATGAAATGATGTAGGCAACGTTTTCAACTATAAATATGAATGTTTTTTAATACATTACAGCCCAAATAGATTGAATTGACAGTGTTAAAAAAGATATAGTTTTTGTTTTATGAGAAGATTACCTCATTTTGTTCCTTACATATATATCTACTTATATAAACAATACAAAATTCTGTTGGATTCTTCTTCAATAAACCTGTCAGAGTTTGTCAAATTTCAGCATACTACAATAAGACATTCAACGATCTATATACAGTACAATACATACATACATACATACATAGATACACACATACATACATGT